CAAGCCACAGTGCCTAAAAGGAAAATAACAGGAAGAGAGTAAGAGAGAGAAGAAAAGTGTCTGTCATAGAGGTCAGGGGGACAGAAGGGAAACTGGAACGTTGGTGGTGGGAAATGTGTTCAAAGGACGGGTGTGGATGGGTGCTGGAACATTGTATGACTGAAACCCAATCATGAACAACTTTGAAATTGTGTATCTAATAGTGGTTCAATTTTAAAATTTGAAAAAAAATGTAATCTTCAAAGTCTATATTCAGCCGAATTCACCTCCCTTTTTTATTTGTCTAGATGCTTCTCCCTAAGTTCCATGCCTCAAGCAGGATGTTTGACTCATTGTTCTCTTACAACTTGGTTTCAGGTTCCTTTGTGGTCAAAACCATCAAACTTCAAAATCCAAGCAACTGGATATATTTTACAAAGACAAAAACAATTTTAGACAAATTTGTCAAATTCGTAAAGTAAATCTAAAGCCCATATCTTCCTCTAGTTATAAAAAGAACTCCCAAGGAAGATTCCTATATTGTTGAATGTTATATTTCACTAAATATTATTTTTAGACACTTTTATATCTATGGAATGTGGGTGTATCCCTCTGAATATTTCTGACAACGATAGTACATGAACAAAAAACCAAAGAGATGCTGTTCATGATTATTTCAAGTTACATTTTTCTGGTCTCTGGGGAATTTGTCAATTCTATTTGAAACTATAATAGTAATTTCCTAACTTTGTGAAGTTTTAACAATGCACTTTTGCTTTATTTTATGATATTCTCAATTTAAAACTGACACATCAAAATGGTTTAATGATCATTTAAATTTTTTTGGCAGTAGAATATGGAAAGTGATTTAAACATTAATATAATTAGACACATTATGGTTTCACAAGCCCACAACTGTGAGAGATTTTAAAATTTGTATCATTTAGACTTTTCATAGTTCTACAGAGGTGCTTATGCACTGAAACTCTTTTTCAGTAGATTACTAAACCAGAATTTATTTTAAAATGGAAAAGAAAAACCAGAAAAAATAAAAACAAAATTCCCAGACCTGTGTTCAAATCCTGTCTCTTGCTTGCTTTATTGTAAGACCCACCAAATTTTTGAAACTTTCTGCTGTAGTTTATTTTCTCTATATTATATACTAGACAAGGGAAGTAATCTTGTCTAGTGTAACTCACCTATAAGTTGTAAATTAAAAAATGTAAGGAACTAGATCATCACCTACTTTAGATTTAGACAGTACTTAGCTATTCTGTCTCTCCCTTTGCAGAAGCACAAAAATGAGGCTTAGATGTGTTATGCATGATAACATAGCCAAGTGTTTTGTTTTGCCCTTTAAATTTTTACCATGAAAATACGTGAGTACAGTAAATTAGCCTAATTTGGTCTAAACAGTCCCTTCCTGGTCTGCTCTCCAATTATCAGTCTTAAAAGTTTAGCTCATTAAATGCCCAAAAAGAAAATGCAATTGCAGAAATGAGTGTATTCTTCAAACTCATGTGGTGGGTTCAATTGCTTGTGAAATTCCCACTTGGAGTAAGGAACCCTACAGAGCACCAAGAAGTCTGAGAAATATCACTGGCAGAATTAGCTGTCATCCATGCATCTGCCTGTAGTCTTGTTTAGAAAAGAGTCTGGGGGCTAGCACAATCCTTTTGTGTACTACCTAGGTACTGGTTGGATGGACATTACAGTGTCATCTAAAAAGATTCGCCCCTGAGTTTTCATTTGAGTCACTACACGACCTGTCCTTAGTAAAGGTGTGTATTGTTATCATTTCATTCCAGTCGATCGTGACACACGAATCCATGCTGAAGGCTGCCTTGCCTCTCTTTGCTAGATTTATCGTCAGCAATGGACTACAGACCAAGCATGGGCTGTTTGAGATCACACTGGAGACCGTGGACAGAGCCTTACCTGTGGTGACCAGAAACAAAGGGTTGAGACTGGCTGAAGGGGCTACAGGTGTGCTTTCCCCAGATCTTCTCCAGCTGACGGATCCCGACACTCCTCCAGAGAATCTCACCTTCCTTGTGGTCCAGCTCCCACAATATGGCCAGCTCTACCTACGAGGGATGATGTTGCTCCAAGCCAACTTCACCCAGCAGGATGTGGATGGCAGGAATGTGGCTTACCGGCATGCAGGAGAAAACTCCCAGATGGACTGCTTTACTTTTGTAGCCTCAGATAGGAAAAACCCAGGCTTTGTCGTGGATGGGAGAGTATGGCAAGAACCTGTTTCATTCAACATTCAGGCAAGTATGAAAAGCACATAGTGCATTGGTAGAAATTGGAAAAGATGACTTGAAGAACTGTTTCCTTCTTTCATTCAAATAGACTCTATGCATCTGCAGGCACCAAACAAGGTGCCAGGGTCTATAAATACGAAAAAGCTGATGTGGTCTCTGCTTGTGGTCTGTAAATGACTGTTGGAGTCAGTGGTGGAGCAAAACACATGGGTTTTGTGATCAGGCAAAACTAGTGTGGCCCTAAAAGAGTTCTTCAATTCTTCTGATTCTGCTTTTCTTTCTTAGAAAAATATGCCTCTGGTGATGAGAATATGCATCGTGGTGAGAATAAAATAAGATTAAATATTAAGGCATTGCACACCCAATCCTCTCTTTTCTTTTTAGTGTCATATTACTACAGCACTCAACCTTTTTTTCCCCATTTTTTTTTTGTTTTATTGAATCACTGTGAGATATAGTTACAAGCTTTCATGTTTGAGTTACAATCACACAATGATCAAACACCTATCTCTCCACCAGTGCACATTCCCCACCACCAATATCCCCAGTATACCCCCCTTGCCCACCCTTCCCCTGCCTCCGTGGCAGATAATATTCCTCATACTCTCTCTCCTTTTAGGCATTATGGTTTGCAATACAGACACTGAGAAGTTAATCATATTTGGTCCTTTATCTATTTTCAGCACACATCTCCCATCCCAACCAATTACTCCAACCCTCATTTTGTTAGTGATCCCTTCTCTATTCCAGCTGCCTTCTTCCCCTACTCATGAGGCAGGCTTCCAACTGTGGAGCAATCTTCTTGGCCCTTGTGTCGACTGTCCTTGGATGTAAGTCTCATGTTATGTTATTTTATACTCCACAAATTAGTACAGTCCTTCTATATCTGTCTCTCTCTTTCTGATTCACTTCACTTAGCATGATACTCTTCATCTCTATCCACTTATAAGAAAATGTCATGACTTCATCTCTCCTAACAGCTGCATAGTATTCCATTGTGTAGATATACCAAAGTTTCTTTAACCAGTCGTCTGTTCTCAGACACTTGGATTGTTTCCAGATTTTGGCTATTGTGAACAGTGCTGAAATGAACATATAGGTACAGATGTCATTTCTACTGTGCTTTTTTGCACCCTCAGGATATATTCCCAGAAGTGATATTGTGGGGTCATATAGAAGCTCAATTTCTAGTTTTTGAATGGCTGTCCATATTGTTTTCCAGAAAAGCTGGACAAGTCAGCATTCCCACCAACAGTGAAAGAGCATCCCTTTTCCCCACATCCATGCCAGCACTGGTTGCTTTTGTTCTTTTGAGTGTGTGCCAGTCTCTGTGGTGTGAGATGATATCTCATTGTTGTTTAGATTTATAGCACCCAACTTTACTATTATGATGTTTATGGATCCATGCAGTGATAGGACAGCAGGTAAGGCATTTGCCTTGCACACGGCCAACCCGGTTGGCCCAGGTTCGAATCCTCTGCCCCTCTCAGAGAGCCCAGCAAGAATATCTCGCCTGCACGGCAAAGCCTGGCAAGCTACCCATGACGTATTCGATATGCCAAACACAGTGACAAGTCTCATAATGTTACTGGGCCTGCTCAAGCAAATCGATGAACAACGGGAGGACAGTGCTACCATCTATTGGTATCTATCTATCTATCTATCTATCTATCTATCTATCTATCTATCTATCTGTCATCTCTCTTTCTCAATCTGCCTCTCTATTTTCCCCTTTATTTTTCTGTGTGTTGCTTCTGTGATGCCAAGGTTAACCATTATTTGTTTGTAGTACACCAGAAATTACACAACTTTGCTGTGGTGCCAGGGACTCCAAACTGCGAAGCCACTGGAATCACCTTGAGCATGTGAGATGGTGGCAAGGACTGAACGAGCAGCTCAGAGTCCTCCTGCTTGTGAGGCAGGGGCTGTACCTGGAGGTACAGCATCCCTGGGACCTGTCTACCTGTGTTGTAATGAATTTTTTTTTAATTAAAATAGGAAAACTGGAAAAGCAACATTCATATTACACATTAAAACTGCTAGGGAAAACCACTACAGCACTTACCATTTTTTTTCTTTTTTAAATTAAAGAACTGTGATTTGCAAACTTATTGATAGCTGAGTTGTAGGCATATAATGCTTCAACAGCAATCCGAATACCAGTGTCAACTTCCCTCCTCTGGTATTCCCATATTTCCTATCACCCCATCCCTGTCTGTCAACTTGACAAGCACATTACAAAGTTCTAGTGGTTGCAGCTTAGAGCCCACGTTTTCAGTTTTGTTGAGTCTGTGCTTTGGATATATGGATCTACCTCTTACCCATATCACAAGTATAACAGAAGCCCTGATGCCTGTTTACCCATTACTTCCTGTTCTCCTCTTACCCCATGACTTCTGTTCTTCTATGTCTTTCCTTTCTCTAAACACTGGGGTCAAAGTGATCCAGGCATCTCCTTTTACTACATTTCCTCATACAATATTCTGTATCATAGCTAAGTGAGATCATTCTGTTTGTCTTTCATTTTCTGTATTGCTTACTTAACATGATTATCTTCCGGTTCCAGTCATATTCTAGCAAATTAGATGAATTCATTGTTCCTTGTATCTGCATAGTATTTCAGTGTGTATATATACCCCATCTTCGTAATCCATTCATCTGTTGTTGGACACCTAGATTGATTCCAGACCCTAGCTATTGTAGTGACTACAGCAATGAATAATAGTATGTGTGTATATGTCAATTTGAGAAAAAAATATGGAGCACTCCATGAATTTGAGTGTCACCCTTGCCCAGAGACCATGCTAATCTCTGTATCATTTCAGTTTTCGTATATGTATTGTCAAAGTGAGCACAGCAGCTTGATGGGTTCTTTTCAGGTCTGATTCAGTGTAGAAAAAACTCTTTTAATTTCATAAAAGTACTACAAAATGAGTTTTAGTTTCTACATTTTATAAGTGTTTCAAAGTTAAAATGTTAAAAATTTGATTAAGTAACATACAGCCCACAAGTCTTTCTGATTCCAAATTCAGTGTCCCTTTTAAGGCACCCACGGCCTCATTTGTGTTGGCTATTGTGCCAATTCTTGGCGGGCAGAATGTATTTTTCTTTTTTTCAGTCAAAACACATCAAGTCTGTTCTGGCTTTCAAACCCTTGAATCCACTTTCCTTGGATGTAGCTCACCCTGTTCTACATACTTCCACTAGTAGCAAAAATACTCAAATCTGTCTCTCTTCAGAATATCTGCTGATTATGTAAAATAATCATACTTTCCCCTTGTTTTTTAGTCTGTGTATTAGTCACAGTTTTCCAGAGAAACAGAGATAGATTTCCCTCTCTCTTTCACTGTCTCTCTAATATATATATGTATGTATATATATTCATATATATACACACACATAGACACACACATACACACACATATATATAAATGACCAACACATACATATCACATACACATACACAAACATGAAGGGAGATTTATTTTCAGGAATTGGCTAGTGCCATTGTGGGGTCTGACACATCTAAAATCTGCAGGCCAGCAGCCTGGTACTTCCAGCCGAAGTTGATGTTGTAGTCTTGAGTCCAAAGACAGGCTTAAGGCAAAGTTTCTTCTTCCTCAGGGAATGATAATTTCTGTTTCTTACAATCTTCAACTGATTGGATGAGGCCCACTTATAGTTGGATTAGAAGTATGTTGACGTACTATACTTCTAATTTAAATGTTTTTAATACCTCAAAAATACGTTTGTCATGATATCTAGTATGCTATTTGACCTAATACCTGGGTAGACCAAAATTAATAATTCCAGTGAATATAAAGATGGAGAGTCATGATCACATAGGGCGAGTTCAGGATGAGTATGTGACAAGAGGGTGGCAGTAGCCAGAAAATGAAATTATGATGCACTTGGGGAAAGGAAAAAGATATGAGTATCATTTATACAGTATGTAAGAAGTACTTGTACATAGTAAAGTTATTATTTTAATGTTTTATTTTGGGTTTCACTGCTAGTAGTCCCATTATACCTTTCAGTCTATTAATATTGTTTCCTTTCATGTTGATTACTCATCCAGTAGAAAAGTGAGACATTTTTTGATTAATTAGTTTTTTTTTTATTGAGTCACTGTGAGATAAACAGTTACAAAGGTGTTCATGATCGGGATTCAGTCATACAATGTTCCAACAATCAGAGAAGTGAGACTCTTATCCTACTAAGAATAATGTCTTGAGTTTATCTGGCTAAATATCTGTAGGCACTCTATATGCCTTGTGTATAGGCACAAGAATTCCTTCCTATACTTCCTATACCAGAATTTAAGTGTCCCCAAGACCCATATTCACCTTAAAGAGAGTTCTCTCTTGGAAGTTGCAGGATTTACTGAATGGAAATGTTGGATGATGCATGTTGTAATGGTCCACAAGTTTTAACTCAAAACCCATAATTCTTTATACATACAAGATTCATAAGGTGAAGACTCGCCACTTTCTCCCACAATTTCCCCAACTCCCTGGTGTCTCTCACTTTGAGAAGCCAAGGAGTTTAGGAAGTGCCTGGCCAGAAGCAGTGCAGAAAATAGGAGTCCCTTACTCCCGTATCTTTATGTCCTTTTCCTGGAAAAATTATATGTGTTGACCACTGCTCAGTGATGAATTTGTCCAAATAAGTGTCCCCAGTGTGAATAAACTTTTTTCCTTCCCAGTCTGGTAAATTAAGAGGAAGCCATTAACCTTAACAGGTACAACACACTGGTGGCCTTTACAGCAGGTTAAAAGAACTCATTTCATTCTGTTTGACCAACATATTGTCCTCTTGTCCTCAGGATTTCCAAATAGCCTTTTAAGGAGGAAAGGAATGCAAGAGAAAGGGTCAGTACTTCTGCTTTCTTTAGTTTAGGCACAAATGAAATGATTTTCACAAAATCCATCACAAATCCTCACAAGAATGCAACCTTCACTGTGTGTGTGTGTGTGTGTGTGTGTGTGTGTGTTGTGTGAGCTCTGAAATGGTGCTCAGGGAGTCCTGGAGACCCTCCCAGCTTACTCGAATAGATGGATACGTGCCAGTGCTCAAGGGGGTATAGCTGTTCTGGGCCTGCGGAGTGATGACCCCCACCAACTTGCACCCTAGGGACGTTGGGGGGTTCAGCAGGTCACACTGTCGGGATGCAAACTTCTCTTCTCTTTTAAAAGTATTTCTAACACCCCAATTCTTTCAAATATTTCTGGCATATTGATCTGCTTTCAAAGAAACTTTAAGGCTATTGAGAGTAGAAAACACTTTGAAATAAATATAAACAAAGGCACAAAAGGGGACATGTAAGTCAATTTAGATATTAAGTTTTAAAAACAAGTGGTTAACCAGAGGAATTTATTTATTTTGTGGCTTGTTGGGTCACATCTGACGATGCTCAGGGGTTACTCTTGGCTCTACACTCAGGAATTACTCTTGATGATTCTTGGGGACCATATGGGATATAGGGGGTGGAATCAGGGTCAGCTGCGTGCAGGGCAAATGCCCTACTCGCTGGACTATCGCTCCAGCCCCTATAGGAACTTATCTTAAACATTTTTAAATATGGCCATTCCTAGGACATAAGAGCACTCAGAAGGGTCATCAGGCCACCACCATTGCTACTTGGTGTGGAACTGGGGGTGGAGTGTGTGCACACAGTTGCAGGGATGGAAGTCTAGGTCTCACAATTGCGAGGCATATGCCTGCTATTTGAGCCCTATCCCTGGCTCCAGCACTTAAGTCTTAGGGAAAAACATAACATTAAAACACCCTACATCCTGGGGCTGGAGCGATAGCACAGTGGGTAGAGCGTTTGCCATGCACGCAGCCAACATGGCCGACCCAGGTTCGATTCCCAGCATCCCATATGGTCCCCCGAGCACCGCCAGGAGTAATTCCTGAGTGCCTGAGCCAGGAGTAAACCCTGAGCATCGCCGGGTGTGACCCAAAAAGCGAAAAAAAAAAACCCACCCTACATCCAATTGTTTGTTGGCTTTAAAGATTTCTTACAAGACTTGTTTTTATTCTTCCTTTTCTGCCACTGATGGTGCCACCTATGGTCAATGGTTGTAGGACTTTCTCCCCACAAAAGTGAGGACTGCCCACCTTCCAGCCAATCACACAGTTCTCAGGTTTCATTCATATGTTTTAGGAAAGTAGAGTGACTACCTTTTGAAAGCTTTGCTTTTTCAGTTTATAAAATAATTGTAAACAAGTAGTAAATGAACCAAAAAGGATGAGAAAAGATTCCCTCAGTCACCAGTTAGAGATAACTGTTGGTGGTAACTTCTGCTGTTCTTTTATTCTGTGTATTATAAAGTGGAATACTTCTTGTGCCATTGTGCATATTTTTTGTTTCCTTTTATGAAAATTTTGGATCCAATTATACGCACATGTTTAAATATGCAGATATGACAAATTTCTCTACAGAAAATTTTCACTAATTTGCACTCCTTCTAGCAAAATATAAAAATGTCTGTTTCTCCAAACATTTGCCAGCATGAGATATGATTACTTTTGTTAATAACAGAGACCCTTGCCAACTTGCAAGGAAAACATATTTGGTTGTTATAAAATTCCATATAGAAATACAGAGGAATAGTGGTGATTTTCTCTACCTCAAGACAAATGAACAGCTTTAAACAAATGCTCCCAGATTTTTGTCTGTGACTGTGTGAATGTACATATGTTTTTGTTTTGAACAAAATCAGTAGCATTACAGTCTTCTATTCTACAACTTGCCATGATCTTTTTGTTTGTTGGTTTTGGGGCCACACCCAACAGTGCTCAGGGCTTGCTCCTGCGCTTTGCATTCAGTGATCACTCCTGGTGGGCTTGGGGGGCTCTGTGGGTTGTTTGAGATTGAACTTGGGTATGCCATGTGCAAAGCAAGCACCTTACCTACTGTACTGTCACTTCGGCCCTACCATCGTATTTTTAAAACCAGTTAACACTAGGTTGTGAATAATTTTCATTATTGGCGTTTTTGTCCTCTCATTCTTTTTAACAGTTATAGAGTAGTTTATTACATCTTATATATAAATGTATATGTATCTGATCTTAAGTATACGTGGTTTTATTGACACTTACTTTTCACATTGCTAGTGTGAAGACTTATGATAATATTGAGTAAATGTACTTAAGGACTGATTGAAAAAAACAAAAGTACCTATTTTTTGTGGCATATGTACATAATAAAATACTATGTAGCTATAAGAAAAGGTGAAATGCTGTTTGCTATAATGTGGATGGAACTGGAGGTAGCATGTTAAGTAAAAAAAAATCAGAGGGAGAAGGACAAATACCAGATGATCTCGCTCATTTGTGGTATACAAAGAAGCACTGAAGTAGACAGTATCAAATAATGACAAACCCATGGCTTTGGATTGTAAATCTGATTACTAAGGAGCGAGTGGAGAGATCAGAGTTGGGGAAATGAAGAGCAAACTAGAGATGACATAGGACAATGGCAGAGGATCGTGGGCACTTTGATGGTGGTGCAGTACGTTTGTACCTCAATACCATAGGCTGAGTTGGTAACTGTGTTAGCTAAACTATTAAGAAAACAGAAATGGAACTTAGTCATACACTAAGTTCTCCCCACTTGAAGATCTCCTTTTCTATCATTTTCTTCTTTCCAATAAGCTTTTACTACTCCCCCCCCCCCCAAAGAAAAAATAGTGGAGGTGAATGAAGGTAGTGAGTAATGTCCTTGTTTAGTTTCTGACACCTGTGTTCATAGTGAGCTGGATAATCCTGCTCCTTTCCTAACATACAACAGTGATTTACAATGCAAACTGAGCTCCATACTGTACCTAAATAACAGTCACAATTGAAG